ATGAGTATATTCATGAGAAGGTAATCCTAGAAAATCGTGTACTGATCGTGGCCGACGAAATACTGGACATCATAAACGGTATCCCAAATAGCACGCTACGCGATCAGGCGCTCTGACACAACGGAATCTCTGTTAGAGGCGTTTGAAAAGGTGACCCTGCGGGATCGCCATATGGCATGTGCAAATCGACAGGACGGGCGAGGCGGTGGTTCAACGACGATGGGACGAGGTGAAAAAACTAACAGAAGTGGTCTCAGTAGTGCTGGAGCAAGGAAGCCAACAGACAATATGAGGCGGTGCTACAACTGTGTGATCACATAAGTGCAGCGTCCGACAAAGGAGCTAAGTGCCAAGTGCTTCGAGTGCGGCGAACACGGGTACATTGCGTCCAAATGTTCGAAAAAAGGTGATAAAACGAAAAATGCGTATGCTGTAGTGCATTTCCGCATAGTAAATATACCAAAAGCGTTGTGACAGATAGTAAGAATATCGTGGCGCTTATTGATACGGAAAGTGATATCTCATTAATGCGTGTGGACAAATATGTGAGTATAGGATCGTCGCGTTTCCAATGGACCGATATTTGATTATCGGAAGTAGGATCTGATAATATCGCGGCGTTGGGAGAATTTTGGGTTAAAGTTACCATCGACGGTCATACCTATTCGATAATTCATATTCCAACCCGCGAGATTGCCGACGAAGATCAACAGCCCGAAGTATTTCAGATCGATATAGCGAGCGAGAGGGAGGCGAGTGAAATTGATTTTTCGTCTATTCGGGACACCGAAACGCGACGAGCAATAGCGAGCTTAGTAGGGAATTACAAACTGTGCAAGACGGTAGAAGCCGACATTAAGATGAAGTTAATTTTGAAAAATGATAGACCGATAGTATATCAATAAGCGCGGCATCTGTCGCCATCAGAAAAAACTATAGTAAACGCGCAAATTAATGAATGGGGAAAGCAAGGCATTGTTCGATCTCTTCCTCCGATTACGCGAGTCCTGTAGTACTGGTTAAGAAAAGAAACGGTTCGCATAGACTGTGCATAGACTATTGAATAAAAACATCATCAGAGATCGCTACCCGCTGCTCCTGATAGATAATCAGCTGGACCGGTTGCAAGGCGCTAGCCTCTTTACCACTTTTGACTTGAACGGTTTTTTCATTTGCGCGTAGACGATTCGAGTATAAAGTATACGGCGTTTATTGTGCCTGATGGCCAATATGAATTTCTACGAGTACCTTTTGATCTGTGTAACTCGCCTTCGATTTTTCAGCGGTACGTAAATGCATTTTCCGAGAATTAATTAAAGATAATGTGGTTTTAGTATATATGGATTTGATTATTCTTTCCGACAACGACGCGAGTGGACTCAGGAAGGTATTAGAAACTGCTAGGGCGACCGGCTTAGTAATTAATTGAAAAAAAAAACTGTTTTTTGCAAAGCAGAGTTGAGTTTCTCGGGCATGTAATAGAAGGAGGTTCTGTGCGACTCTCAAAGCGCAAGACAGAAGCGGTGAGACGTTTTCCCAAACCGACGAATACACGACAAGTGCAGACCTTTCTGGGTCTAACGAGATACTTCCGAAAATTTGTTTCTGCATATTCTTTGAAGTGTGGCCGTTGTCCAATCTTTTATGAGTGAATGCTAGGTTTAACTTCGAAGCAGTTGAGAAAAAGGTGTTTATACAATTGAAAAAATCTTTAAGCGAAAAACCGATGTTGAAATTACACCGATTAGGTGCAGACCCGGCACTGCATACCGACGCGTGCATGTATGGATACGATGTGATCCTCATGCAGCGAGACAGCGAGGACCAATTTCTACACCCGATATACTATGCGAATAGTAAGACTACATCCGCGGAGAAGAAATACACGAGTTATGAGTTGGAGGTACTTGCGATAATTAAGACGCTCAAACGGTTTCGCGTATATTTGCTTGGTTCCAATTCAAAATTGTGATGGATTGTCGCACGTTCTCTCGTATTATAAATATGAATAAGAAGAATCTTGTGTGTACGTATAGCTAGTTATTACTGGAAAAGTTTTAGTATGTGATAGAACATCGGCCAGGCAAAAGCATGACGCACGTAGATGCTCTGAGCCGAAATCAGATTCCGGCGTGCTTGACAATTGACGAATGCGAGGCAGGATTGCGACGGCGCGACTGAGACAGGCCCAAAGAGAGGACGAGGATTTGAAGAAAAAATTCGACCGAGCAGGGACTGCTAGACGGTTACACTATGCAAGGCGGATTTTTGTATAATAATATTGGCGACGAAATACGACTTGTGGCTTCTAAATCTATGCAACAGAAATTAATTCGTCCACACGAACCAGGACATTTCGCGGTTGATAAGACAGAGGCGCTGATGAAAAAAGATTATTGGATACCAAGATTGCGGTCGAAAGTCAAAAAAATCGTATGTAACTGTATTTCGTGCATTTTAGCGAAACGACGACAAGAGAAGCAAGAATGTCTTCTCAATCCAATTGAAAAAGGAAGTATGCCGTTAGACACCTTCCACATCGACTATTTAGTGCCGTTATCATCAACAAAAAAGCTATGTTTATATTTTTGCTGTAATGGACGCTTTTTCGAAGTTTGGTTGTACCCGACGAAATCGACGACTGCTTCTGAGACGATCGACCGTTTGCGAAAGCAATCCGTCATCTTTGGTAAGCTAAGAAAGCTGATTTCGGATAGACGTTTCGCCTTCACGTCGAAAGAATTCTGAGAATACTGTCACAGAGAAGATTGAGCATGTACTAATCACAATTGAAACTCTAAGGGGCAATGGTCAGGTGGAACGGTTGAACAGGATGCTGATACTCTTGATTACGAAACTAACTGCGTCTAAATCTGACGAATGGCATAAGTACATCGATAATGTGCAGCAGTGTTTAAACACTACGTCACAACGTAGTATCGGAATGGCGCCTTTCCGCCTCTTGTTCAAAATCCACCTACGAGTTCGTGATCATTCAGATGTACAGGAGCTGCTACAACGTGAATTACCTCATTTGAAAATGATCGACGAATTACGATGTAAGGCAAGGAAAAGCATCGAACGTGTGCAACGTGAAAATAAGAAAAGCTACGACGCCAAAAGGAAAGAAGCATTCCGTTATTGAGATGGTGATATCGTCGCGATCCGTCGCACTCAACACGGTCCTGGACTTAAGTTCGCATTCAAATATTTGGGTCCGTATGAAGTTATCAAAGTTCTAAGAAATGACCGCTTCCTAGTTCGTAAAATTGGCGAACGGAAAGGGCCACTCCAGACTTCGACGTCCCTGTGGACGTCCATGAAGCCGTGGACGTGCGATAACGACATCAGTGAGGAGGAAACCGAAATTGACGAACATTTATAACGAATGTTTGGTCAGGACGGCCGAGTGTGAGCGGTTTTTTTTTGTATTTTTGTATTTGGCGCAAAAGTGTGCTGAGCGCGCGAGGAGCATAATGAGTGCGAGGAAGAGTGAGCATTTTGCTTTTGGTTGCTGAGCGTGCGTGGATGACGAGTCAATTGCCAGACAGTGGTCGATCTAATCAGATGTTTTCTTGTTTTCGCATTAAATGTACAGGGTGTCCCACAACTGGTAGAACACCCGTTAATGGTAGGTATGGTAGGTAAAATTTGGAATTGAATGTTCCTCTCCTATTTTTGGATCCGACAATTAGTTAATGAGATATTAATTAATTAAGTCTGCCAATTTCTTAGCGCCCCGTGTGAGAGCTCAGGGCCGTAGGGCGCCGTGGACTCCTTAGAGACCCTGCTTGTCCGTTTTTCCCCTTTTTTGTATCACAGTGGAATATGCATGAGTGAGTGAATAGGTGTGTGGATGGATACCTAACCGGGGCTAGGGGGATGGCAAGTTTTCAATGTGTGGGGATGATGTATGGGTGCGGTTTTGTATGCGGTTATGAGTGCATGGATAATTTGAATATTTTTAGTGCGAGTGAGCGGAGTGATTCCACTTTATGCGCCGGAGAGGGAGAACAAGTTTGGTATGTTTCCTTCGAGCACGTGGGTGACTTGAGTGTTTTCTGCATGTTGGTGGTTAAGTATCGTGAATGATTTTAGTATGTGTGTACAAAAAGGGGAGAAAAACGAATAAGTAGGGCTCTTGAGGAGCCCACGGCATCCTACATACCTGAGTGTTCACTCAGGGTACTAAGGGATTGGCAGATTTAATTAATTAATATCTCGTTAACTAATTGTCAAATTCAAAAATGGAAAAGAAACTTTCAGTTCCAAATTGCATCCCCTACCTACCCCTAACGGGTGTTCTATCAGTTGTGGGACACCCTATATATATATATATATATATATATATATATATACAGGGTGTTCAAAAAGTCCCGGACCGGTGAAATATCTCGAAAACTAAGCATTTTAGAAAAAAATGTTTCAGATAAAAGTTGTGGCGTTTAAAAAGATGTATTTACTGATCACATCAGTTTGACCTT